TCAAAAATCTATAATAAAATAACAAAGCTAGAAATAGTTACAATAAAATCAATGCAGATTTTTACACAATGAATAAAATGAATATTAAGTCGATTCTATAAATTTTATTGTTATGCCGAAGATTATTTTTATTTAACGGGGTTTTCTTCACAATTTCTTATACAACTCTTTCGAAATTAAAGAAAAAAAAAGAAACTACCATATCCACAGAAATATAAGCACTTATACGAACATTGTTAAAAGACACTGAGTCTATGATAACCCACTTGTAGGACTTTGCAACAAGTCTTTACATATTAGACAATTTCTCAGTCAAATATTTGGTACATAGCATAACTTGGCTCTAAAAGAGCCAATACAGTCCCCAAAAGAGTATTGTAAATGATAGAAATTTTAAATAAAGTTCTTAATAAGCATACAGTTCATCTCTTGCTAACGGTCTTTGTGACGTTGGATGGGAAGAGTCGATACCTGGTTGAATCTCGTCTACCTATTCAAACGCGGTAAGAAGATTGCAGACGAAATTGTTTCATAATCTTCTTTCTGTCGAAGAAATAAAGCTGCTTTAGATCTATCTTCATAGATTCGGCTGGTTAGTAGGAAAAATATACGAAAATTCTCTTGTTATATTTTGGCATCAGTGACTTTTCCCCCAGGAGATTCAAGGAAAAGATTTAATTTTCGCGCGACGAAATATAAACAGACTCATCAACCTGAAAGAAGGCAGAACGAACATCAAATATAAACAAAAGGAGGAAGCGGGAAGTATTTATTTATTTTGTTCCTCCTCCTCCTCCTCCTCCTCCTTTCCTTTCCTTTCTTTCTTTATTTCGTTTTTAATTCTTCTTTCAAAATTGTAAGAAAATAAACTTTATTATTATTTTTCTATCAAAATCCCCAGTAGATTAATTGCAATAACTTTTATAATTAAATATTTTTAAATAGGAATGGAGATACGGTAGATAGCGACTCGGTTTAAGGAATCGGAGATCCGAGTTCGAATTCCAGTTGATTTCGTTACATTCACTTAAGTTCTATTACCCTCGGAAAGGAATGAATGCATCTCCTCTCCCCACCTTCACAGCTATAAGTAAATAGCAGGACAGACTGGGTTCTATAGCCTTTGGTGGCAACTGTCTTATGAAAAAGACAACTAAAGGGTGTTCCAATAACTAGGACCAATGTCAAACGTGAATTAAGTTTAAGCGTCTAATAATTTTTTTCCTTTTCTTTCAGATTTGGCGGACATTTGGGCGATATTATTTTTCACACATAATTGCCATGACTTAAATAACATGATCGAATAGAGAAATAAATAAATTTTCGCCAATAACTGGTTTATTTTCTCCTGACTTTGATCCATCTTAATGAAGCATCTTTTTATATAATCCATCTTAATGAAACACCCTATATAAATTCAAAACACCCAACTATGGGTTAACCTATGGTTAACCTCACCAACGCTCAATTAACTAAGCGTGATGAGTATGGCTACACCCCTGAAGACATGTTCAGTCAGTGAGGGGTGCCTCCAAATAGGGAAAAGGCCCTGGATGTGGACCTCTTCTAGCGTGCTTTCATCCATGGTACCTCTTTTTTTTTCTAAATAAATGTATTTTTTAACTTTATATAATATTGATAAATAAATTTTTACACAATAATTCTATTATGAGAACATTAATCTGTCCTCCTGTATAGCAGTGAGTGATGGATGATCTCCTCAAAGATGAAGAGGGGACTTGAAGGAACAGAAATATGGTTCTACAGAAGGATGCTTAGGAGACCGTGGACATAACATGTAAATAACGACGAAATTTTGAAGAAAATGGAAATAAAAGGAAACTAATTCGTTACATAAGGAAGAGGCAGTTGAGGTTCCTAGAGCATATGATGAGGAAGGAGGGCTTGGAAAATCTGATACTCACGGGGCAGATAGAGGACAGGAGGGACAGAGGAAAACAAGACATGACATATTTAGTGAGCTTGAGTAAATGGATGGCGGAACTGGGTTAAGAGAAATAATAGAAAGACAAAGTTCATTAAGGAAATTGGGGAGAGTCATGATCGGCCCCGACCTGACGGGACATGGCACATAGAAAAGAAGAAAACACAAACAGCAAGAAGAAAAGAAAAACAGGTTTCATGTCACTGAGTCCCAAACTTGTTCGTTTTATTGTATTGGAAAAATCTGAGATTGCAGGTCTTCTGCTAGGCTGAATTGACATTTCAATGAATTACTGCACCTACAAATGAGCGTTTCTACTCCTGTACGTGTTCTGGTCGGTCAGTCAATAGAGGAACTCATCAAGATTGACGTACGAGGTCTGATAAAAAAGTATCTGTTGCTATGATAACAGAGCTAAAGTACGCAGAGTGAAGCCGCCTGGTGTGGATTGACCTTGAAGTCTGTCGCGCATGCACATCATGTTATAACGTTCTTACTCACTTCCGTTGTTTATAGCAGAGTTTGGAAGGAAAGTGTGTAGAGTGTGGTCATCTCACCATAGCACAGCGGTTCCATCAGTGACCATAGATACTAGGCAGATTTTGGTCAAGAGCAACATATCCCGGTGCGACAATTACCTTATTTCCTAGATCTCGCCTCTTGCGATTTTTTCTCTTCAAAAATCAAATCCCATTTGAAAGGAACAAAATTTCAAGATGTTTATGAACCAAGAGAATGCGACGAGCCAGCTGCTCGCTCTCCCAAAAAAGGAGTTCCAGGTTTGTTTTTATCAATGGAAACGACTCTGGATAAAGTGCATAACTTAGAGAAGGGGACTACTTCGAAAGAGATTAAATACCGAATTGATATATGCTGTAGTTTTTTTAGCACTATTCCCGATAGATTTTGATCAGACCTCGTATTATAAGGCCAGCATTTGTACTCGTACAGTCTTCACGACCCAGATTAGGGAAAATGTGGCATCAGGAATGCTAACCTGCAATGTCGGGAATCGCTGAGTGTCATTTTACTAGAAGCAAGGCAATAAAGCCACTAAGACGCAAGGGGGGGGGTACTGAATGTGAATGAAACGAAGAACGTTACTGGGGATAAAGGAGAATAAAAGGAACAGGATTCTAGGAGACAGGAGATGATGGTTGAAGATGCCTATAAATTTTTGAAAATTGTAGTTGAAGAGAGTTCAACAGGCGAGAAATGAGAAAGAGTTTGAAAGAATATGAGAAAAAGAAAAACATTAAGGAGAGAGAATAATAAAAGAATATGAATTAAAAAGACAACGGATGACGATTGATATTTCCTCTAAATTTCTGAAGATCACATTTAACAGAAAAGAAGGGACGTCGGAAGAGAGTTTCACAAGCGAGAAGTGCGAAAGAGGAAATATTAGAATAGAACTTATATTTTCAATTAGTAATTTCAAAAGTCAAATGATGAGAACTTGTTGTCAATCTAGTACCTCCATTCGCTCTCCTCACGAACAGGAAGTGGAAAGCCTCTCACTGTTCTATTGTAACTTTCATGGAAAGTGCTCGGATAAACTACATTCCTTGGTTCCGTCAGGTTTTAACTTTCACTGCTAGAACCCGTCATTCCACTTAAATTGAAGCAAACCGCCCACATTCCCTCTGTGTTCCTTTCAAAAGAATGTTTTCCCGATTTATACAATCTTAACTTGTTCATGCCTAGAGCTAACTGCTATCCCACACTCCTATCCGTATAAACTACCCCTTAACATAACCATCTAACCAAGTGAGTCTCGGACCTTGTACAAGGTGAAATTCATGATGTCGACGTATTTTTGTCTCGTTTTGATCTGGGAAGCGCATTTCATTTATCTTGGTCATTTAAACATTGAGCACTGTCTGTGATTGTTTAGTTGACTGTTTGGTTTTGGATGTTCCTTCTAAGTTCATCTTTCCTCTTCTGTACTTTTTTATCAGTTTTTCTGTTATTTTGATTTCTTGGTTTTTGTATTTATTTTAATTTTGTTTTATTTTATTTGATTTCTTCTCAGGCTTTATGTTGGCTTTAACAATATTTTCGTAATTTATAATTAATTTTTAACTCAGTATAAAAGTAACGAAAATTAGAAAATCAACGGTCAATTGCCGAAATCTAAAGACGAGTGGACCGAGCGATTACAAAAAGCTTAATTTACGAAATCGAAGGGCTGCATATAACATCAATCAGTTAAGTGACAAATTTTATTTATATATATATTGTTTATACGTTATTTTTATAGATACAAATATTTAAGTAAATGTTCTGTTCATAATAAACAGTATTATCAACATTTACCGGACTGAATGTCTGAGAAATTTCATAGAAAATATGTGCCTTCCGAGAGAAATTGAATCTGTATCCAAACAGAACCGTCATATAGCCTGAGGCTCTATACCATTTAGCTACAGAGGAAGCGTTTGATTAGCAAGGTCGAATTTCTGCTTTATATATAGCACCTCAGGCTACATGACGATTCCGTGTCGAATATAGATTCGATTCCAGTCGGAGAATACATATTTTCTATGAAAATTTCTC